ATAAAATATTTTTTAATAAGATTTTTTTTTAAAATTATAAAGTTGTTTTTATTATATTTTATAAAATTATATGTTAATTATTGAAGAAATGGTATTATAATTATTTATTATAATTTGAAAGTTACTATTTTATTGATATATTATTATACTATTAAAATTTTAATTATAAATATTTGTTTTAATTAATTAAATTATTTTAATTATTAATTAATAATTGTTTTATAATAAATATATAAATGATATATATATATATATTATTATAATTATATATATAGTTATATATAATTATATAAAATTCATTATTACTTATAATTATATAAAGTTCATTTATACTTAAACTTGTAATCTAAAAATATTTATTTAGATTTTTATTTTTAGATTTCAGATTTATTTTATTTTAAGAAAATATTAAGGATAATTGATTTAAAAAAAGATTTAAAAATCTATGAATTTTATTATAATTAATCAATTTTTATATTTTCAGTATAATTCAGTGGATACGAGTCCTCTTAGTGTATATATTATGCATCCATTTTGGAATAAAATAGTTCATGTATGTTTTCTATTAAAATTTATTTTTATAATTAATTTTTTAAAATTAATTACATTGATTTAAAATTTTTTTTCAGTACTGTCCAAAATGGGTTGCTCCAAATGTATTAACTTTCTTTGGATTTCTTTTTACTGTGTTCAACTTTACATTATTTGCATTTTATGATTATTATTTATATGCATCAAGTGATGATAAATCACAATATCCCCCTATACCAAGATGGGTCTTTGCCTTAGGTGCATTCAATGTATTTATGGCATATACTCTTGGTAAGTATAATTTTATCCCTAACTTACTTATAAAATAATTATATTTAATGTAATGTTTATTTTGCAGATGGTATTGATGGAAAACAAGCACGACGTACACAGACATCTGGACCTTTAGGAGAATTATTTGATCACGGATTAGACAGTTGGACAACAATGCTTATTAGTGTTTGTATGTTTTCTGTCTTTGGGCGGACAGATTTTAGTGTATCACCATTAAGAATGTATTTCATCTTATGGAATGTGTTTATCAGTTTCTATTTGACTCATTGGGAAAAGTATAATACAGGAGTCTTATTCCTTCCTTGGGGATATGATCTATCTATGGTAGTAAGTTTCTATTTTAAAATATTTAGCAAATTACTAATAGACATAAATAAAATGATATAATAATTTATGATTACCTTAAAAATTTTTAGGGTACTATTATTGTTTTTATCATATCTAGTATAGGTGGACATAGAACTTGGAAAATTGTTTTTCCTGGTGGTATACCAGTGGGAGTGATGTTTGAAATATTACTTTATGTTACTGCAATTGTATCTAGTTTACCTGTGGTATTGTGGAATATATACAAGTCAGTGCAATTAAATTGATATAATTTGTTTTTTGTTCATGATTTTTGTTTAAAAAGTATTTTCAATTTTTAGATCATATAGAGATAAAACTGGTAAAATGCGAACATTTGTAGATGCTATAAGACCTTTATTGCCTTTAACAGTACTTTTCATGATTTCAACAATTTGGATAGTCCATTCACCTAGTAATATCATAGAGAAAGATCCCAGAATAATTTTTTTAGCAATTGGAACTATCTTTTCAAATATATGTGTAAGAGAAAGATATCAGATAATTAATACAAAATTATTTGATTATTAAAAAATTAATGCTTTTTAAAATTTACAGTGTCGTTTAATTGTATCACAAATGAGTAATACTAGATGTGAACTATTATCATGGATACTACTACCTATAGCAGTTGCAGCAGTATTCTCATTTATCTTACCTAACATAGACCTAGTGTTTACATATATTCTTGCCATTATAGCTTTATTAGCACATATTCATTATGGAACATGTGTGGTAAGATTTATTTTAATATTTTAAACAAAATATTTGATTATTAATAATAAATTATTATTTCTTTAGGTACGTCAAATGTGTCGTCATTTTCGTATTTATACATTCCGTATTAAAGATCGTACAGACTGACTACTTGCTGACGATACATGTTAAAAACGAAGAAATATAAACAAACGATCGGAAAGAGCTACGAACGAGTAAGTATAGAGCAGAAAGAAAATTTGAAATTACGATTAATAAGAAAAAAATGCATTTTGATTATAAATATGCAAATACTTAACAGTAGATAGTAACAGTTCATTCAAATATGTAATCATCATTGATCATATCCAAAAGAAAAAATAACTGTTATGTAATATTAATTATTCATTTGCAGAGATAAATTTAATCTTATATTATTATGATATAATTACATAATTATTTTATGAATTTTTCTGTTCGTAACTCTGACTGTGCGTAGAATATTTATTTTTACACATGCGAAGCTTTTAGCTTTGAATGCACATCAAATTCTTCGTTTTTAATATGTATTGTCTGAGAAATCAAATTATAAGTCTAACTTGCTCAATATTCTCATGAAATGAATATCTTGTTCTCTGCAGAAATTTAGAGTTGTTTTAACTTTAAATTTTTGCAAAGATCTGTGCAGAAATTTTTTTATTTAAAATAATTATTAAAGAAAGAAGTTTTCGTAATATATGAAAACTCTGAGCAAGTTGGAATGATATAAGTTGGATGGAGATAAGAGTTAGATATAATGTTGGTATACATCTGTAATAAGATATATGAAAGAGATTATTTATTTTGAGTAAAAATGCATATATATGTTATATTATACTTATAGTAATCAGTTTTCAATAATGAAATATTTTTGCAAATGTACAAAATTTCGTGTATTAATACACGAATAATAAATCAATAAATTTTGAGCTAGACTGAAGAAGTCGAGAATTAATAAAATTAATTAAAAAATTTGCTTCATGTTTCTAAAATAAAATAAAAAAATGTAAATTTTTAATGTAGGAAAAATATATAAAATCATAATCAGAAATGTATAATAATTTTTTTAACATCGGGATTGTATAATAATTAATTCTTTTTTTTATTATTTTCGATTTATTACAATCAAATACATGTTAATTTTAATTAAATTTTCATGAAAAATATATTGAGACAATAGTCAATTGTAAAAGAATGTAAATTTCAATTATTATTTGAATTATTTTTTTATTTCTATGAATGTTAATGGATTCAAAACATCAATTTAATCTAAAATAATAATAATAAAATCAAGTAATATTTTCCACGTTTTAGAAATAAATCATAAGTCATGAAAAAATTAATTTATTTAAAAATCTATTATTATAAATTATTATAAATTATTATAAATTATTATAAATTTTAATTGATTCTATTTGATAATTACATTTGATTCCATTTAATGACTGCATCATAAAGTTTGAAATGATTATATGAATATTAAATTTAAATTTTTTTACTTGTTAATTTAATACATTATTAGTCTATATTATTAATAATTATAATTTTAGAAATACTCTGTAGGAATTATATTACATTTTATAAAAAAAACAAATTTGCATTTGTTTGAAATCTTAGAATGTTAAATAGTAACAAATTTTTTGTAAATTTTAGTATATGTATATAAATAGTAAAAAAAAAAAAAAATTAGTAAACATGAAACAACTTTGAAATGCTAAATTTTTTAACTGAAATATTTATGAATACACTTGTATAAATAGTAATCTAAAAACTATGTAATCTATTTTAATTGAAGTATTCTTATGTAACTTTATTCTTTAGATATTTAATTTTTTCTCATATGTAACAACATATTGTTTGTAAGTTTATATTGTTATAACTCATCGAATATAATATGTATAATGTATTATTCCTCAAATCTTCGTTTTTGCCAAAGATAAAAACAATTTTACATAAATTATATTTTGTTTATTCCTAAAAGTTATATATGTACATTTTATTTATATATTTTTAATCTATTGATAATATAATTAAAAACACAAAACACAATTATATGTTTATTTTATTTGATAACTATAATTAAATTATAACTATAAAATTATATATATATATATATAATTTAAATGAATGATCATTATTATATCATTATTAACTTCATTTTATGAATATAAAGTTATAAAAAAATATTTTATTTTTGAACCTAGAAATTAATTTAAATTAATTTAAATTAAGCAATGATAACAATTAAATTTAAGATTTTGTTTTTAATTATTTATATAGATTTAAAGAAACTATAAATACATTCTTAAAAAAAATGTTTTATAATAATTCTTAATAATATCTTAATAAATCTAAATAAATAAATATACATGTTAAATATTAATAAAATTCATCAAATTTTGATAAGTTATTATTATTTAATTAATAAGGATGAATTAATTCTTTATAATAAAAAAAAAAATTTTAATCCATTATACGATTACAATTCTTCAGTATGTCAAAATTACATGAAAGATTATTTATTTTGTGATTGTAAATATTCTGCTTTTATTTTTTGTCGTTCTTCTGGTAAAGGAACATAGGGTTTTATATTTTTTATCTTTCGATAATTTATTATCTTTGCCTAAAATAATAAAATGTATAAAGTATTTTTACAATGCAATAATTATATTTAATAATACATAATAATAATACAATTACCCAAAATTTTTTGCAGATTTTGTAATTTTCAACATATAATGAACATTTATTATAATTATATTTATTTTTTTCTAAACATTTTGCAGTAAAATTATATTCCTGAAAAAAATAAAAAAATATATAATAAAACAAATTATGTATATGTATATATTTTTAAAATTAAATAATCTATTAATGAACTTTTAAATTAAAAAAAATTAAAAATTATTAAATTATTAATTGCAAATTATTAATATATATTTATTTATTTTTTTATAAATTAGT